GCCTAATTTTATTTAAAATAATCGGGTTCGGGCCGGGCCTAATATTTTTAAAAAAATTTCGGGCCGGGTCGGGTTGGACCTTGGAAATTTTATTAAATATATCTAAATTTATCAATTTTATATTAAATTTTTTATGTAAAATAAAATTTTTCATTTAATTTATTGAAACTAAACGCTATATAACATAAGTATTTTATTTAGTAATTATAAAAATTAATTTCTATATTTTAATAAATTCATGCCTGGCCGGGCCGGTAAATTTTTTTAAAATAAATTTCGGGTTCGGGCCGGGCCGGGCCGGCAAAACTTTTTAAAAAAATTTCGGGTTCGGGCCGGGCCGGCAAAACTTTTTTAAACAATATTTCGGGCCGGGCCGGGCTTGAAAAATTAGGCCCGATGCAGATCACTAGTTTAAGGTATCTATTGGTATTTTGTAAGATTTTATATGATCATTATTTTCGGAGCTATGATGATTTTGACAAAAGTTGCGCCGACTAGCCCTGGTCTCCCCTACTTCATAAATATGTTTTCAACCTTCTCAAGTTGGAAAAAGTCCTTTCGTTCGTACATGTTGTAATAGGCAAACATGCAAGAATATAAAATAACATCAAAATTATAAGAAATTGAGCCAAGGTTCCTTTACACCGATTGAGCGCATCAATAGCATTCTCAGGTAAAATAGCTAAACGTAGTAAATATTTATACCACAATTAGAATTCATTGATTAAATTTATTTCAGTATATAGGAATAAAATTTTGCTAAATATTTAATTTTACCAATAGTGGCTTAGAAAACGAAGAAGGATTATTGGATAATAAAACTTGAAGATTGCTAAAGACTTGTTTTTTTTATCTAAAAACCTTACTTTTATTTGCGATAAAAAAGTATTTAAGAATAGGATGAAAATGGATATTTTATAATATTATTCAGTTGAGCCAATATTTATTTTAAAACTCAATAATTACCTAGGTGCTAGACGAGGTTTAATTAGTTTTATATCTTAAATTTAGCCTTCGATTTAACATCTAGATAAATATTATGAAAATATTCATCTACATTCATTCTTATTGTATCTACCTGTTCATATATATTTTCCGCCAAATCAATAACCTGAACCAAATCTAAATTTGGTTTTTGTAAATTTCTACAATAGTGAGCTATAGGAAAATAATTTATTGATGCAACTAGCAGCAATGATAAACTATGATTGATCACTTGAATTCAATAATGATATCGCTTCTGACGACACATTACTTTTTTTCATGCTCAGCCTTATTTAACTTTTGTATTTCTATTTCTTCTGTTCTACAAAATGGAAGTAAAAATGAAAAATATTAAAAAAATTATAGATATTTATTAATAATTAAAATAATATTAATAAATATAATTCTAACTCTATCATATACCGCCATAAAATTTCTATTTTAAATATTTTATTCATATTAACTGCCATAAATAATATATAATAATGAAGAATAAATGTATACCTTTTTAATTGAAATACCATAAAATATTTTGCTAGCTTGAATTATATAATTAGTTAGAGTCCCACCTTCTTCATATTTAATATTGTTAAAATTTGATCTTATTGTATAAAAATTTGTTAATCTCTATTATTTTACATTGCTAAAATTTGATTATATTGTAAAAAATTACTATAAGGAAACAAAAAAGTTTCAACAAATACTAAAATTTATTTACTCCAATAGTGATTTCCACAAACGGCCATTTTTCACCATTAACCAAAATTTTTTTAAAAATCTAGGCACAAAAATTCGGCTTTTTACAAACGAAACTAAAAAATTTTTGTCAAAATATTCTGATAGAAATTTTTAAAATATTACTTTTTTGGGAATACAATTATAAAACTATATTTAACATTTTTATAAGTGTTTAATATTATAATGTTTTAAATTAATTGTATTTTTATAGTGTTTTAATATTATAATGTTTTATTTATTATGATAGTAATTTTTAATAAATAAAAATCACAAATTTTAAAAAAAAATTTATTTTAAATGATTATGATAAACTATTGAAAATATTTGGCATCATTAATGTTATAAATTTCCTTTTTCACTGGATAAAATAAATTTAACATTTTAAGTATCGTGGCTCAAAAAATATAAGTGACTTGCCTACCCATATATGAAAAAGGAACATTTTGTAAAGGTTTTTGTCATTTTTTCATCAAGATATGCAGGAAATGGTTTACAAAAACACAGAACATTGATATGTCAAATTTATACAAGATGGAAAGATGCCCTTGAAAAATTTAATACTCGTCAATAAATTAAAAATCATCTCAATTCTTATGAGATAACAGGTGCTTTAAAAGTCATCTCTAAAAAGCAAAAGATATCAATATCTATGATATTAATAAATATAAAAAAATTTACATTACAAGCAACAGAGTAAAAATAATTATAATAATTGATGCAATCGTTTGGTTAGTGAGGCAGAATTTACATTAATAGCTCATAGAGTATCTGCTGGTCTCTTAATACTTATGTGCTCTTTTAATAATAAATGCAATTTCAAGGAATTATTGAAACTTTTATACAATAATCATATTAGCTTTATAAAGCTTTTTGAAACCTCTTCAGCTTTACAACACAGCACTTTATGTTCACTGTAGTTCAAATTGCCTATTGGTGATATCTACGGCGTTTGAATATCGTGGGATCCGGAACAGTTCACATATAAATAGTCATTTAATTGGAATTTGTTAGTTTTTTAATATTATAAGCGATATCTTTATATAATGCTAATATATTTTTCAAAATTTGGAAACAATATCGTTGTTTGTAACTTTTTCACACCATCCAAGAAGAGGGATCTATTTATCCGAACACTTGAGGACACCGACTAAAATAATAATAATAAAAAATTAAAAGATAGATTGTCCAACTTAATTCATTGAAAGAAACTTTTCATAGAATTATATAAAGTTATTTTTGCAGCGCTTGAAACCAACATATCAACAAAAATTCAGCAGATGCTGAGTTTTTTGCTGGCTACTAAGCCACATTATTTAATATCAATTCAATGTGTTTATTTTTTGTTTAATTACACATATCATTTTAGAAAACTGCTGAACAAAAATTTATTTGGATTTAAGGTGTCATGAATAGAGCGGAAGATATTTATCAGATATTTAAAAATAACAAATGTTGATAAGAAATTTTATAAAATATATGAAAGAGTAATGGAGAACTCTAATATGATTGGGATTGAAATTTCAAACTTAGAGTAGTTTCTATACAATCCAAATTTGAACCGTACATAGTCCATGCATGAGTAAGAATATCAATATTTTTTGTTTAAAAATGCGATAATGGCCTGATTATTTTAAATTTTCTAAAAAATTGTCTGATATTAAAATGGTTATAAATTTTAATAAGTTTTCAACAAATTATATCTCGTAGAAGTTTAAACTTCAAACGAATGTGAATCTTTAATATATTGCCCCTCTATTGCAATAGGTATCAAGAAATCTTTTTCATATACCTATGTGACAACTTTTTCTCGAGTACACCATCTGTTTTCCCGATCCATTGAAGTTTTTGTAAATTTTTCTGGGTTATAGAATATTTATGTTCTCCTATCTTGCATACCTTTATAGAATTCTCTAAAAGATTACACACCGTTAGAAACTACTTGTTTAATATGAATCTACATCCTTTGAATTTATTGCGCACCCGTCAAATTTGCTATATTGATTTGAATGTATGTTTTCAAAACAATCACGAACTAAATACAATCCTTTCCCTGATGTATTAGTTATTTTCTTTAATGAGAAATGTGTTTTGGTTATATATAATATATTTTATATAACGCAGGAAAATGTTGGCTTTGTTCGAAACAAAATTTAAATTTACAAATGAGCACATGTGACTACAATTCCTATGTTATAAGAAGTTTTAGATTAAATTTTTGATTGTGATAGTATACATAAAATTATATGTATATAAAATATTTATTCAATCGGTCCCAAAAATAATCTGTTATTTAATCCGGTCCCAATCATTTATATTTTAATCGGCCCCCAAAATTATCTGTATTTTGCCCACGATCATGTTGGCATTTTGCCCACCTACCATCATGGCCAGTCCGTTTCTGATTATCAAACATTGTGATATAATCTATCATAAAGTTGAAATATTTATTGTTCAATTAAATCCTATTGAAGATAAAATATTCTATAAAAGAAAATAATATAGTTACTATTGTGTGTTATTTATCATATTTTATTATTCCTGTATTTGCAAATAACTAAAATTTTTCAATTCTATTCTATATAATAATATTTTATTTTATATAAGTATTTAAAACCAAATAAAATTGGTCCGATCCACGATCCGTTCAACATTTATATGTTGTCATATTTTTCTGGTCGGTCTATTTAATTGATTCCGCAGTTCGGTCTTCCGTTCTTGACCTAACAGTGATCTTCATAATTCATGACATGGATTGCGAGTATAAAAATAATATCCTTTTAAAATATGAGATTTTCCTATCATAGGATAAAAAAACCTTTACTTGTTATTTATATGGGGGGGGGGGGCAATTAGGGTAAAGATATATATGTTAGCTTCAGTTTTTCCTGTAATGTGTTATTCAACTTTAAATCATTTTTTGAGCATGTTTTTAAAAATCTGATTTTACCGGAAATGATGTTTGAAATACCTTCCCTATGAATTTCAGACAATTTCTTCATAAACTTTTAAACCTAGTATAATTTATATTAAACCGATTTTCAAATATATTAAAACGAGCTCAAAAAATGATTTTAAATTGTAAAAATAACACATTGCCGGAAAAAACACATTAACGCTAACATATATACTAAAATATCTTTTATTATTTTGAGAACAATTTATAAATTATCCTTTTTAATTCATTAATTAATTTTACTAAAAGTTTTAAACCAATCCAGATTATTGGAATTTTTCACATGTTATTATAATATAGATTATTTATTCATAAATTATGTTAGGATACATGACAGGTGGTGGTCAAAACTTATTAATAAACTCTAACAACGTTAGTTGGCGACATGTTATAAATAGCTGGAAAAATGAAATTAAAAATTTTAGTTATGGATCGAAAAATGATCTTTCATCTGTAGGACACTATACACAGGTTAAATAAAATTATGCCATGTATTAGTCTCATCAACTATAGATTGTATGGGGAGAAACATTTAATATAGGATGCTCATCAAAATATTGTAAAAAGTTCTATTTATATGCATGCCAATATTATCCAGGGTAATTAAGTTATTTAAAAATAAATTACTTAGTTGTGTATACATATATATAAAAATTTATTTATTAAACTATAAAGTCTATTATTTCTTTTTAAAGGTCAATTCGACTAAAAAATAATTTATAAATAATGTCTTTTTTCACAATGTCAACACAAAGTCGAACTTTACCAAATTTGGCACAGTAGATAAATAGTTTTATAATAATTCAACAATTATCTTTCATTTCACTTTGAAGAAACGCAGTGTCGAAATATAATTTGTCTAATTCGCAACATTTTATTGTTTCGAGAAATAATTTTTTAATTAAAACTAAAGGATTCTAGAAAACGCCTAATAATTTAAAGCTTCACGAGGAGTCTGAAGTGGCAGAGAATTAAAAGTTTAGTTGGGATAACGAGTTATCGGAATTCTTTGTGATAATTTTGAATTTATCAGTTATATATTATTATGGAGGGCATTTTTAAATATAAAAAATCTGATTTTACCGAAATATATGAGCACTATAAATTTCAGACAATTTCTTCATGAACTATATTTTTAAATGTATATTAGAAATTATAATTAAACATGGTAAACAAAAAGATAAGAAGGTCCAATAAATAAATTTGAGCATACATTTTAATATTACTTTAAAATTTTATTTTTAAGCGGTAATATTGCTAACCAACTAGGAATTCCATATCATATTGCTATTGATGGTAGACAAAGTTGTAACCGTTGCAAAAAAGGTTTGATTTGTGCTAGATCTCCACAAGACATAAAGGGAAAATTAATTGAAAAATGTGGTAATATTTTAAATTGATTTTTTTATTTTATTAGAAGTTTTTAAAGTTGCTCAAAAAGAATGGATATATAACATAAATTGATTTTTTTATTTAAGTATCCGACTTTTACTATGAAAATTAACCAAACCAAATATACTATATAAACTATCATAATGTTAATTAATATAATTCATTTGAGGGTGGAAATTAGTCCTTGTTATAATGCATGATTTTTTTTTGGAAAAAATTTCACTACCTCTGACTCTAACATATATATTTAGAAATTGTAAAAATATTTTTTTATATTAATTATATTTTATTATTTTGGCTATTATAATATATATGAGACATATGCACTAGAGCATCCAGGATTTTTTTAGGAAGGGTAATAATTTTGGACATTTTTTCACCTTCAATTTTATTTCTTTTAGGTCACCTCAACGGATTATATCTTAAATTTTATATTATTTGGTTTTTTTTTCAGTGAATGTTTTTTTCTCAACTGATTAGGCTCCATTTTTTTTTCATTTTTGAGGTTTATATGATTTGCAGCATATTTTTTAAATAAACATGTGGTTATTAACTTTTTTTATAATGGAAATTATAATTATATATTTTTATTAATCCTGAATATTAACCCGAAAAGATCTATTTTATGCTTATATTCGTATATTCACCATTAAACGCATTAATGTGGAATCTATAAGTTAATTTTCATAATAGAAAATTTATAAAACCTTATGTTTGTTTGAACTGCAATACCAAGCCTCAAAAATCAAAAATAAGCTTCTTTATCGCATGAAAAAAACGCCTATCAAATTAGGGCCTTCTAGTCATTAATTATATAAAATCATTAACTTCTTAAAATATATACGATTTGCAATGAGATATTTTAATCATTTTCTGAGGGGAGGATGGGGAGGGGGTGAGGGGGAAGATTGATTGGGTAACGAATTTATGCAATCTATTTGTCACATATAGAACCATTCCTGTGGATTGGCAAGAAGTATAATTATTCCAGCATATAAAAGAAATATGATATTTTAGATTGTGGCTTTTGACAGGGTACTTAGTGAGATTAATAGGTGGGTCTTGAGAAAATCAGATGTGGACGAATGGCTGGCTATGACAGTGATGGCAATGTATGTGAGAGTAGTGTTGTTAAAAAGTCGTAGTTATAAAAAACGGCTCCGACTCAAGCCGATCAAGGAGCCGCATGTGCCTACTCATTTAGTCGGCTCGTGTAGTGGGCTCGTTTAGTCGACTCGTGTAGTCGGCTCGTATAGTCAGCTCGCTTAGTCGACTCATGAAGTCGGCTCGTATAAGTCGACTCGCAGGGTCGATTCAATTTTTTGTTTTTTTATAAAATTAAATTGCTAAATTTGGAATTACTGATTAATGTGAACAAAATTATAATAAGAATATTCATATCGTAACTAAAAATGGCTCAGGACCAGGGTTGCCATATGTCACAATTTAGCCGTGATTCTCACGATTTCATACCTAATTTTTTATTACCCACGTTTTCTCACACCATGCTTTTCTCACGTTTTTTGAGTAAATTAAAATAATCACACTTAGTCTTACACCTTTTCTCACGTTTTTAAATTTTTTCAAAATATTTTTAAATTTTTTTAAAATATTTTTAAAAACAAATATAAAATTTTAAATTAATTTTTTTTAAAAATATTTTAATAAATTATAGTATTTGTTAATAGTCCAACTAACCAATCATATTCATGATCAATTACCCACAACAGAAATTCAATTTTTAGAAAGTTTATCAAGTATAATTATAATATGAATTTAAATAATTATACATTTCTTTTATGGATTTTATAAATCTTATATTAAAACTCGTAAAATTTTAAATGAAATAAATTAAGGGCAAATATTATAAAAGATCTAAAAAACAATCATCCGTTTTCAATACTAACGGGTGCATAGAATAAAGGTAATATAAAAACATTTCCCTTATTACTTAGATACTTCAACAAAAAGAATGGAATAAATGTTTAATTACTTAAAATTTTTTCGTCTGACAGTGAAACCCCTAAAGACATATCTAGATGCTTGCTAGAAAATTTAAAATTCGCAGAGTATAGTAATTAAATGCTATAATGAATTTAGCAACTCGACAAAAAGAGTTACCTTTTTAAAAGAATTGGTAGAATGGTGCAATTTAGAATGGTCAGAATCACTTCGCCATGTTCCAACACGCTGGCTTACATTAATCCCAGCGATTAAGCGGATGCTTAAGTATTTTCACCCCCTTAAAGAATATTTTTTATCATTATCAGCAACCCCACCAATTTTGAAAATAATTTTTGGAGATGATTTTGCAGAGGCATATTTAGGTGTTGTCATTAACGTTGCCACTTTAGTCAATAACATAAATTTATATTGCAATCTGAAGATGTATTAGCAATATAAATACATGATTTTATCCTAAACTAAAGAATTCATTAAATTTTAAAATTTGACAAAATTTTTATGGGAGCATTTCTAAAAATATTTTACAATATAATAATGATGTATAAAAGGCAATAAATTTAAAAAATGAATCAAAGATATTTATAAAAAATATTATAGAATATGTAGAAAAACGTTATGATATTATAGATAATATATGGGAAGATGTTATGATTGTCAAAGAGTGAAGGACGCCCCCTGAAGCAAAAAAAAATATTTTTAATGGCTCCCTATAGATACAGAAATTCTCTTCGAGGAATATTTATAATTTAATTCCTATTATGAAGAAAAATTATCAAAAAACTATCACATGAATACCCAAGAAAAATGGATGGATTTTCTTTTTAAAAACTCACCATTGATAGAGAAAATATGCAATTTTATATTTTTTATTCACATTCAAATGCTTCATCAGAGAGAATATTCAGTCTAATGATTACAGCTTGGCGAAAAGAACGTCATCATTGGAAGCTGAACTTATGGTTAAACAAAATATAACTATTCATGCAAAGAGTTTTCAGCCTATCTCCACAGTGCCGATGGGAAATCTTTATTGCCTCTTAAAATCATCCATAAAATATAATAATTAATATTATGCTATATTTATAAACATGAGAAAATTATACAACATAATTGTTATTAGTAAATCAATAAAGAATTTTTATTGTTTTTAAAATCTTGTTATATTAAATATAACATATTAACTTAGAGAGTATGCTACCAATTACCCCGGCCGAAGGCCCGCAAAGTGGGGGGCATGGGGGACGAAGTCCCCTATTAATTATTATAAAAGAAAAACTCACGTTTTCAAGTGAAGAATATCTGGCAACCCTGCTCAGGACCCGAATTCGACTTTAGGGATTATATACCTAATTTTTATAATACAAAAATGTAAAAATATAATTTATATTGTAAATATGTTATATTAAAATTTTAGTGAAGATGTACCACGGATAAGTGCAATTGTCATAATCGTTGTTTTTAAAGTTTTTTAAATTTTTTTGACATAAATGGGCTAAAATAAGTATTGCTAACATGTTTAAATAAAATTTCAGCGAATATGTACCCTAGATAAGTGACAATTGTCTTAATCGTTATTTTTAAATTTTTGAAAAATTTTTAAAAATAACGATTATGATAATTGTCATTTTTATATGGTACATCTTCACTGAAGTTTAATTTTTACATGTTAAAAATGCATATTTATGTCTAATTAGCATTAAAAAAATAAAATATGTTTAAAAATACCGATTATGATAATTGTCACTTTTCCAAGGAACATTTTCATTGAATTTATATTTAACATCATTACTATATAAATTATATTTTTGCCCTTTTGTGTCAAAAAATTTCAATAATCTTAAAAACTAACGAATATGACAATTGTCAGATTAAAATATTATTCTTACAAAAAATAAAAAAAAGTTAACTCATTCAATATATTAACCAACAATTTTGTCACATGCTATATATAAATTAGAGATCTGCAAAAAGTAGACCCGACATTTATCAATTTTACTGAATTTTTTATATAAAATAAAAATATTTAATTTTATTTATAAAACTAGACGCCATTTATTTAGAGTAATTATAAAAATTAATTTCTTAAATAAAATCGGGCTAGACCGGTAAAACTATTTTAAAAAAAATTTCGGACTTGGCTGGATTTGAAAAATTAGGCCCGTCACTAATATAAATAACGCATTTATCAAGCATCTTATTCGAGGCCTTTTTAATAGCCTTAATTTGGTGATAGATGTGACATGCCCATTTGAGGTTCTATGAATTTTGTTGCCATCCCAATTGTAGGGTTTCTTTGAGAATAAACTTTTCACTTTCACCTAATTTAAAAAGAGGTAAAACAAATAGTTCGAGTTTTTTTAAAAAATTCGGAATTCTCAATATTTCAACAAAAATTAATATTGAGAATTTTTTTTAAAATTATTATTTTATGTTAATTATTAATAGCTGGCTAGAAAAAAAAACGTAAAGAAATCGCAAAAATTTAGAAATAAATTAAGAAGGAATAACAAAAATAAATAAAAGTTTAAGAAAAATTGACAAAAAATTTAAAAAAATTACAATTTTCCTTTTTTGATTGGGAATTTTACTTTTTTGATTGACACTTTTCCTTTCCTTTTGGGAATTTTCCTTTTTTGATTGACACTTTTCCTTTTTTGTTTGGGCCTTTTAATTTTTTGATTGAACTTTTTCCTTTTACTATTGACCCTTTACCTTTTTTGATCAGACCTTTTCCTTTTATGATTGAAACTTTTCCTTTTTTGATTGGGACTTTTCCTTTTTTGAATGGGAAACCTATCTAGGGTACATCCTCACTGAAGTTTTATTTTAACATGTTAGCAATATTTATTTTAGCCCATTTACGTCAAAAAAATTTAAAAAACTTTAAAAACAACGATTATGATAATTGTCACTTATCTATGGTACATCTTCACTAAAATTTTAATATAACATATTTACAATCTATATTTTAACCCACTTGCGACAATAAATTTCAAAAATCTTTAAAAATAACGATTATGACAATT